GAACTCAACTCGGTAGATGCACTGTTTGTATTAACAAGGGTTTGAATAGACTGCAGCCTTCCTTTTAAAGGTTATAAACATTCGATTGTTGCGAATTTGTTGTTTGCGATCCCTTCAGACCAGGCTATTATAAGGCAATTTAAGCCAGCTTTCGCCATTTAGGTTTACCGCCCTACTAGGACACGAAAGCAGACCTGCTAATTTTCTAATAGTTAAGTAGTGTCTAAAACTTTAAATTATGTTGTGGATGTCACTGCAAGGGTGGGTCTGGATATCGCACGCCTTTCAGTTTTCAACACAGAAGCTACAAGGCCCAGTTGTTCAAAGGGCTGGATAACACTATCCACCAGAAAAAGTCGCTACCGAGTGGATAAATGGTAACAATCTACGCTATCAACTGGATAGTGATTTATTCAGTGCACTATCCATCTTTTGAAAGACAGGGCCAGGTGGTAAATTGTTAGAATTCAATAACTCATTTCCATAATATGGGATTCATTTGACTTCAAATTGATTTGGCGGAAAATGGCGTTGACGTACAACCCACGTCAAGATAAACACATCAAATGGACGTTTCACAACGATTCGCCGGTTACCTTTCCGTATTTACTACTTTTATAATACATCTCTGACGTACTGACACGCTACGCAGGAGAAATTTCAAAACGCAGCTTTAATTCTACGGTTAGGGCTACCGTCCACACTAATCCGTCACGAAAACTGGGCTTTTCGAAAAAGCTCTTCAAACCAGAGGAATTTGTAAACGCCGGGTTTTCGTTTTCGAACAACGGAGCTTTTCGAAAACGACGACATAAGGATAGTCAAGTGATTTCCCTGACCAAGTTTTCCTCAAACACAAATCCAAAATGACCGGTGATTGTTGCGTTTTTAAATTTCTCCAACTTAGTGTGGACGGGGCCTCAGTTGACTTCAAATTGATTTTGGCTCTGACGTTTATCGCACGTCAAGATGAACGCATCAAACGGACGTTTCTCTTTGACTCGCCGGTTACCTTACCGGATTTACGACTTTTATAACACATCTCTGACGTACTGTCCTATTTCTGGGACGGAGAAAACATCTTGCTAGATAAAGCCCGCCATTTGTAGTAATTCGTGTCACCTCAAATGTATGAGACAGCTTTAAATCATAGTTGTTTGATAATAAGAAAGGCAATGCCTTAAAAATGCTTCCTTTCTAACAATCTCTTTATTGTGAAAAGTGACCGATCAGCCGGACTCGGTAAAACAAGAAGTTAATAATTAATTCCACGTGTGGGAGCCAGAATCGTCAATTACCCATCAGTGAAATAGCAAGGAGATCTTGTCTCTTCAAAAGGTGCTTGGAAACATTTACGAAGGTGTTCTTGACGTCAGAGTCACTGAAGGATGCAGTTAATGTAATGAAAGCTTAGGCGTTGTCCATACTACATCGGAGAAATCTAAAAACGGCGTTTTGAAAACGCATCAATGTCTTTCGTCCACACTTCACCAGATAAATTTAAAAACGCAACAATCACCGSTCATTTTGGATTTGTGTTTYAGGAAAKCTCGGGCAGGGAAATCACGTGATTATCGTGACGTCATCGTTTTCGAAAAGCTCCATTTTCAAAATGTTTTTCTGTCCACACTAAAACCAAAAGCCAACGTTTTAACATTCCTCCGGTTTGAAGAGCGTTTTCGAAAAGCTCCATTTTCAAAATGTTTTTCTGTCCACACTAAAACCAAAAGCCAACGTTTTAACATTCCTCCAGTTTGAAGAGCGCTTTCGAAACGCTCCGTTTGCGTGACGGACTTGTGTGGACGGTAGGTGCTAATCGTATAAATAAAGATGCGTTTCCAAATTTCTTCGGCTAGTCTGGACGGGGCCTTAGAAACACACCAGAACAGGGAGAAGAATGGTTTATTCATTTATAGTTTTCTTCTCCTCTCTTTGCTTCAAAATTGAAATTGGTCTGTCGGGCAATATAGGAAACAGAAAACCGTTTTTTGGAATGGCGTTGTATATTATGAGAAAGTAGCGAGGACTTAATTCTGTCCGTTGTGGTTCGGCAGGACAAAGCGAAAAGGCGTCTATTTTAATGCACTAGTTCACGTCAGAGTTATAATAAACAGCTTGCTTGACGTCTGCCAGTTGAAACAAGCTGCAAAGTATGGAGAAGTAAGAAGACTGCTTGTGTCGTCTTCTGATTGGAGATAATCACCATCAACAGAGCCTTCTAGGCAACATCTAGCAAATTTTAATATAAATCACAATTTTCCCCCTTTAAAGGAAGATAAATTTGACATAAATATCCGCTTAAAGGCAAGAAACTATTGATTTTTTTCTTGACCAGGTCATTCAGAGTTAAAAACGTTCGAGATTTTTCCTACAATTTTAAAATACAGTTTTAATCTTGAGTAGTAAACATTAAGGACAATATTTTCCACATCATTTCAGTTTCAGACATGATACACAATGTATTAAATACAATCGTTCTTAATTCGTAAGTAACGAAAAAAAAAAAATTTTTGTTTGACGGTGAAGAGGTTATATACACGAATCTTCCACAAAAGAAGTTTAAAATAACAAAACAATACAAATTCATGGTTTGATAAGATTTACCCGTCCAGGCATGAAAATTCATTTTGTTAAAACCGGCCAAGAGTGAAACATTTATTTTCGTTAATTACCAGGAAAGATTCAAATTATTTGAAATTTTACGAATATGCACTACGATTTAAAAACAATTGATAAAAATAAAATATATAGATATATATTTCATTATAACAAAAGCATACAAGACTAGCAATATTGAGCTTGGAAGTTAAAATAGTTTACAATGTATTATTTCATCTCGCGAAAATCATAGCCTTCATGTTATTAAGGATTTGTGCTGCAGAACGGAAGAGCCAGTTCGGGGGAGAACTAAATTTTACACCGTTGTCAACTTAATGGACCTACCCCATTGAAGATTTATAATTAATAGGCTTTTCCAACGTCAAACTAAACAATTAATTGTTTACCTTCCGAAGGCCTCCTTTCTTTGCGAGGTATCGTGTATGTTTTAAAGGATCTGTTCGAATCGCGAGCGTCCCGGGCCATGCTATCAGATAAACTTGAGTGGCTATAACAGAAAAACATAGCAACAAGAAATTATTGCAGTCAATAACTTTTAGAAGGTCAGTATGCGCTGGAAACAAACAGGTTCACCATTAAACATGAAAAATTCAAACTTACAGTCCCGAAAATGCCAAACAAATTGCTAGGAATAATAATGATAATAAAACAATTATTCATGAAACAAGCGTCGTAATATTTTTGTTAGCTTTTTTTTCTGATTCTGCATATATATTCGCTTTCGTTCATAGCGCCTTCGAAATCTTACATAGGTGTTTATACCGAGACATAATTCGAAATTCCTTCTTCAAAACTCTGCGTGTCTCAATAAGCTTAACAATTAGAAAAACAGGCAAAATTTACATTTTCAATTCTAACCACCTGTCAGCCTGTTTATAACTGGGCAATGACGCAATACATGTATAAATTAATGGTACCTGAAAGAACTGCGGAGTTCTACCGGAAATTTCAGCACTGTGTTTGCATTCAAAGTTTTCGTCGCACTGTTTTTCAGCGTACACTTAGAAAATTACTCAATCGATAGCATCGGTTTAATTTCAACGAAGATTAAGATTATATTCTCAAGGAAGAAAAAGAACAGATAGCCGAAACTTTAAAACTGAATTCAAGCCTCGCATAACAAGCCCATATTTACATGAATATTAATTTTGCACGCGACGAGAAGTCAAATTCGCGCAGCTCGACTTTTATATTTACAGCGTGCAAACTTCGATTCTTACGCTTTGAAAAAACTTAAGCGTGAATGGTTTTCGCTTAAGAAAATTCTCTACTATTTAAAATCGAATACAATGGTTCTTCTACCTTCTTTCGCAGCTTATTGATTATAGTCAACGTAAAAATATTTGACAACTGGATGAGTCATCGTCCCGTGATCGCCAAATTGTAAAAACAAACTGCGTAAGCCCTATAAATTATTTTAAAACACCTACCAATGCAAACACAAATCTTCCCCTGCTGGTCTGTGGAAACGTTAGGAACCATTCCATCGACAATTTCGACCTGAATTTAGCTGCAAAAACACAACAGCGAGCTCAAGCGAACGGTGAACAACCTGCTTCCATTGAAACTGAAAATTTTGACGACGCGGCTGTCAATTGGTCGAGCAAAGACGTCACACAAAACATTTGTTTTGCGCGCCAAAGAAATGGCGCCAAGTCACCAATAACATGCGTGGCGTTCGCTTTGCCTAAGTCGCAAAGCAGAAATTCAAAAATAGCTCTCACAGTTAACAATAGTCTGAAAGAAACAAAGCACATACTTTCAAAGATATTCTTTCGCTCAGCGAGACGATACAACAAAGAAAGTTCAAGAAAGCAAATTAAATTCAACACCTTCCCATTCTTTAGTCAAATGTGGAAATATTAGTACAGTTAACTTCCTTAATCCAGAACTTTTAACGTGTAAACAAGAGACAGGAAATTACCTTCAAAATACATTTTATATTCTTTAACCCATTGTTTCCAATTGTCCTGACTTGCGTAAGCTGGGCAAGTGTTGTTTATAAATAAGATTTTCGCCAACAGTTTATACTTAGCCTGTGTAACAGCCGCCCTCCTCGAAGGCGGCTTTAATACAAGTTTCGTATTTTCGAGGAAGTGGCTTCAGTCGACCAGTGAAAAAAAAAAATAAAAAATAAAAATAAATAAATATATATAGATATATTCTGCAAAATTTACGGTTTCACACTTGCCATGTTAAAAGGTCTTCTCCTCATGCTTTTTTTTTTTTTTGCTTTCTTTTTCCCTCGCACTTCAGCGAAAACAAAAATTCTTTCCCTACATCGAACGGAAGCAGACCGAAAAATAGTGCTAAAATGCCAATTATTTCTGTCTTTCTAAATCCAAAGACTTCCATTGTGTTCATTGTTGGTGAGCCAAGTCATCACGTAAAGTTGAAACAAAGAGTTGAAAAATTAAAATGCATTCTTTCGACAAAAAATCCGTGGTCATCGAAACCGGCAGTGAGGCGCCTGTTTCTTTAGTTGCTTTGATTGATTTTGCTTCAAACTTTCCCTTTCATGGGCTACAAGACGCCGATCTGGATAGCTTAACTGAAATTAGAAATCTTACATCTAAAAAAATTACTAACAGCCGGCTAAGAAATGGGCGGAAATTTTAACTGATATAGCTGAGAAATTGCCGAAAAATTAGCTAATAACTGTCCCAACCACACCCAGATTCAATTTTGCTCTCTTCTTCCAGCGAGGGTCCCCCCAATTTAACAGCTTATAATTGGGCTTGATAATTGTCTGTATCCCATAAGCCCAACCCCCCCCCCGTCACCCTACTCATATGCCCTATCTTCCAACATTAGTGCTCAGTGTACTGAGTTCAGTTGAGTTTTGAGTTATTCAAGGGTATGTCTCCAACTCTTTCAAGCGTCCAGTCGCCGTAAAATCTTGAGCAGTGCTAGGAGCATATTATGCCAATTTTACGAGCACAATCGACAAAAGCTTAGTCGTCGTAAGCTTCTTATTTCTGTCATGCCTTGCAATTTTGCTCTGACTTTGTTCAGCAATGTTGTTGATAAATATGCAGTTGCAAAGACAATAGCGAGTTTAAGAAAACCACGACGGCAACGGCGACGTCGCTAAACCAAAGGTTTAATGAGCAATACAATGGCTGTGCAGGTGTGTTATAATTCGTGGTACATTTCTTTGCCGTCCTCTGCAAAACAACAACGTGAAATGACCGAATTCTGCGTTGTCTGGAGAACATGTACCACGACGGCTAATTTGCTAAATTCATATTTCGAATTTATCCATGTCCACTAGATTCAGTTTCGTGATAGCTTTGCTAGTGACAAACAAAGTAAATGACTTAAAGAGTACCGCGAGATTCGTAGGTAAATATAAATTCATTTTTTAATCGGCGTTGTTCTTGGCGTCGCTGTCGTGGTTTCTTAAGCTCCCTGATGTTTCTTGTATACAGTCGAGCTAACGGACACAGCCGTGGACAGACAACTCCTTTATTCGGCCGGACATTTAACTGAGAAGTCGAAAAAATACATCACCACATTTTTAACGCGCCAATAACCAGACACTTTTTCTAAGTGCTGGGCCATCACATTTTTGTTCCGAACAACAATTTTTCCTCGATTTGCGTCAGTTCCATTTCTGTTTTTATCGTGGCTATTCTGCAATATTATTCTCCCTCTCAAGCACGGGTAGATGAGACTTTCTAGATTCCAAGAGGGCTCGTGTCGGGGAGTTTAGAATGCATAGCCAGATGAACGGTCTGTTCGCATTTAACCAGCTTTGATCCCAGGCTCTCTCCTTTGTCTCCCTTGTCAACGAAGAGAAAGACTGGGATCGAGGTTCGCATTAGACTCCATGCTGAAACGTAACAGCCGGTCTACGGACTTCCCTTACGGACCGGGTTTATGTGGTCAGGGGTTTCAATAACATTAGTTATAAGCGCCCACTGAAGGTGTAATAGGCGGCTGTGACCACTAAAGGGGCCGTAAGGCCCTTTTTCCCTAAGGGATCTGTGGGCATGCCCCCCTTGAAAAATTTGGAATCTAGA